TCTCTGCAGAGAAGAGAGCCATTTCCTGTTTGTCCCTGCTTATATCCTGATTCTGCCCAGCTATGTCATTTCCTGCCTGTCTGTACAGATAGACCTCTATGGTTAGCCAGTGGCAAGTTTCTGCCCAGCTATGTCACATCCTGTCTGGCCAATCAGTCAATCAGTGTTTTATTCATTAACCAATAAGATACACATATACAGAACAACATTCCCTATCACTAGATGGGCAAATAGTTTATATAAGAATTCTTCATAACTCACATTCTTAATATTTTTGACTAACAGTTTAGAATTAATTAGTCCATTTGAAAACCCTCAAAGTGAGGCCTAGAAAGACAGATGGCTCAGTGGTTAAGAGTGCTCACTGCTCTTTCAGACAGCCCAAGTTTGGGTAGTAACACAGAAGTCACAGTCACTGTAACTCCAGCCCTCCTATGGGATCTGACACCTTCCTCTGAACTCTGCAGGCACATGCACACACATAAACACAGATACACATGTAAAAACATACAAATAAAAGTAAAGAAAATCTTCTCAAAAGATGAACAACATAGTAATAAAGCTCAAAGCTGACTGCCTGCCTGGCTACTGGTGTATCAACCCCAATTAGATGCCTTAACTTTTAACTAATGACTAAAATTGGACTTGGAAAAAAGTGTGTGTGTAGCTGAAAAGAGATGCATGTAGAATGAAATATAGAGGCATGCCAAAACCTGTCTTCAAACACCTCTAAACTTGGAAAACTTTATTTTAGGATACAAAAAAAAAAAAAAAAAAAAAAAAAAAAAAAATGATGACCTGTGCAAAGCTGTAAGCACCTGCAAAGCAGTTTCTCCTGTGTTGCCCATGTTGCATTTCCAGAGGATGAGGGAGGAGGAGGTGATGCTGCATCAGGAAGATTTTTCTGGAATGATGGAGGAGACTGAAATGTTGCTGTCCATCTCTGAAGCAGACAGCGACTTTGCTTCATGGGAGGGATTTTAGTTAATCGGGCCAAAGCTGCAAGACTAAAGAATGGATGGTAGGGGTTGCAAAGGATTTGTGATGAGCGGGCTTCCTATAAAGCAGGGATTGTCTCAGGGTGTGTCTGCAGAAAAGACAAAACAATTTTTGAAGAGCAATTTGGGACTTAATCAATCTGCTGATTAGTGGGAATCATAGAGACAGAGAGATATGTGAGAATAATGTATACAGCAACTGCCTAAGTAACAGTCAAGGAAAACGTGAGGAAAATAAGGTGTATACTCACAATAAGACGAGTTTTTTCCTTTGGAAGTGCTAGAGAAGCATTCTACTCATGAACACCAATCTAGCCCATTGAAATCCATTTAGTCTTGGGTCAGGAGAGATGGCTCAGCCCTTAAGGGTGCTTATTGTTTTACCATAGAGCCTGAATTTGGTTCCTAACACCCACTTCAGATGACTCAAAGATACCTATAACTTCAGTTCCAGGGATCCAACAGTGCTTGGCTGCTGTAGGAACCTGAACACATAGGTGTGCATGCTCACACACACATAAACAGGATAATAATAAAGGAAATAATAACATTTCATTCAGTTTTGATTATATATATAGAAATGTGGAAAATGAGAGTTAGATATTTTTTTCTAGTGTGATAGAAGGAATTTATAAAACAGTAGATAATACCTAACAGTATACATGACTTAATTGATTCAAAAAACATTTTTGCTCCCCAGTAAAGATGAAGATTTTCTGAAGCAATAGACATGTTTATAACCTACATTATTATGTCTTAGTTATTATGCAGAAAAGAGTTTGTTTGGTTTCCTCCTGAGAAGTAAAATTGTATGTGGAGTCGGGAACCTGTTGGATGGATTTCATGTTCTTTATAACTGGTATTAGGTTAATAACTTCTTTGAAATGTCATTAAGAAACCAGCTTTTGCTATGGCTCTATGCTGAATCATAGTGATTTATTTTCACTTCTTTTCAAAATATTGTAGTAGAAAACTCCCAAACTTCAAATCAGGATTGTTTGAAGGTAAGATAAGGATAATTAGTGAGTGAGTAGAACTGTTACTGTGTGTTTGACATGATTCATCAAACCCGTGTAATAGATCAGGGTACCATGATGTGCAGGGCTTGTTTCTATTTTACATAGGGCTCAGTCAGTAGGCTGCTTGTTGAATAAACCTGAATTCGGATAAAATGCAGCTGTGTGGAAAGGTAGGCATGGCTGTGTGTGCCTGTAACCCTAGAGCTACAGCATCCCTCCCCCAGAGCTATCTAGCCCAATTAGTGAGTCTCAGCTTTGCAAAAAGATGCTGCCTCAACAAATAAGATGGACAGCAGTATATGAAGTCACTTGATATTGACCTCTAGTCTCCACATGCATGTGTACACATGTGGGCATGCACTTATATACACAGACACACATGGATGCACACAGACATTATCATCATTGTCATCAGCATCAGCATCATCTTCCTTCTCTGCCCAAGTCCAATCCACCTACTTGAAGCCCTTTAAGTCTCTGACCCAGAGTACTCATCCCAGTCAGTGCCTGAATGAGCAATCTTAACTTTCCTCTAAATCCCTAATGTTGCTGTATCATTTGTCAGCAACAATGTCAGTTGTTCGTTCTGTTTGGTCCATATGCTTCATATCTCCATGAGCTGTATTTCTATGCACAGACTCTTCTTAGTCCTGAACTATGTCGTGTTCTTTGCAATGATGTTCTCATCTGTTTTTTCTGATCCTGGATTTGAGCAAGAAAATATTGCCTCATCCTTGGCTTTTTTATTTTTGGTAGGAATTATGGAGAATCTATTGGTTCTTTAAGTATTTGATAGATTTCAGAGTGAAGTCATGGGGTCCTAAGCTTCTCTTTGATGGAAAACATATTTGTTCTCCAGATCCATCATTGGTTATTTAGGGTTATCTGCCCCTTCACAGTTCTTGGCCTATTATTGTCAATAACATCTAATAATTCTTTGTAATGTCCACGCTGTCGGTTATGTTTCCTGTTCTAGACATCATTTTTCTTATGAGTGCTCTCTTTCTTTTCTAGTTTGACCATTAGTTTGTCAGCTTTATTTTTGAAGAATCATTTTCATCTAGCTAATCCACATACATATATAACTATATATTTAATTTTTGTATTTATTTTTGTGTGTGTTGATGTATGTGCATGGGCATGCATGTTGCACTAAGGCACATATGTAGAGATCAGAGAACAGCTTGCTGATGGTTGCTCTTCCCTTTTCCATACAACTATTGGGGATCAAACTAAAAGTCCTTATGCTTGGCAGTAAGGGCTTTTACCAACTGAGCCAACTCTCCAGCTTGCATTTATATTACCTACTTACACTTATTCAATTTTCCCAGCCCTATTTAGTGAGAATATTGTCCTCTAGGTTTATATTTATTTATTCTGTATACAGGCTCATATATGTAATATATATGTAATATATACATACATACATATGTAATTTGTCATATGCATTCACATCTATAATATTCATATACATTCTTGGCCTTTTCTTGCTAATTCTCAATTGAGTTTGCTTCTAGTTGTTATAGTTTCATGAGATGCACTGATAGCTTGTTCATTTGAGATCTTTCTGCATTTTAGATATAGATTCATTGCTCTCATTTATAGCTTTTACTCTATTCCATAGTTTTTTTCTTTATTATTGTGTTTTCATTTTTTAGAGTATTTTCTTAGTGTGTGTGTATGCATGTATACATATGTGTGTGTTCATCACCTGTATACCTTGGTATGATGTGGGACTTGTGGGAGTCTGTTTTCTCCTTCTGCTGTGTAACTGGCTGGCCTGGAACTAACTACGTAGACTAGACTGGCCTTTTGTCTTTGCCTCACAGATTTTGGGGTTAACGATGTGCAGTGCCATGCCTGGCACAAGGCATCTTTTAGCTCTGGACTATTTTATGGATTCTTAACCTATTACATATATTTTACAGATGTACCATCTATCTGAGTAAACTCATTTCCTTTATAATTTCACTCTGGTGATTACGATTGTATCTACATTCATTTGGACTGCATTACTTTTTCTTCCCTTTAGTCAGTGCTGATCAGAGCGTGATAGGGAAGTGACTGTATCCCAGCAAAGAAAAAGGCACAAGGGAATTTAGTGCACGCACTAGCCATGTGCATTCTAAAGGAAGTGGCATTGTTCTGAAGTCCTGATGATCAGTCCTGAGGTATTATAGGTCTCCAAGTGAGCCACCCAGTTTCTCCCCTGCATGAGGTACACGCAGGAACCTTCTCATTTTGTCCCCTTTATTTTGATCATAGCTGGCAAAACATTCCTTTGCCATAAGATTCCTATGTAATCTTACTCTTGCCAGGCTCATTTACTTTTTCATGTCCCTTCTTCCAGCTTCTAGTCAGAGACCCAAGATAAGCAGCTGTTATTGTCCCTGTGGTGTCCAAGTATGGATTACCCTCTGACTTTTCCACAAGTGGCGAAACACGTTTTAGTGGGACATCTTCCCAGTGTACTGATGCATGCTGGTAGTTCCAAATGATGGGGGAACTGAAAGGATCACTTGTACCTAGGAGTTCAATACCAGCCTGCTAGATAGTGAGAGTGATCTGGCCTGAAATACCAAAACCAAAGCAAGCCAAATTCAAACCAGCAAAGATGAAGAGATAATTCAGATGGGCTAGTGATGCATTTTTAGGAAGTATTGTAACTGCATCTGGAGTGTCTCCTGGAAGACCCATGTAACATCTCTTCTTCCAAAGAGAAAGACTTAGGTTTTACAACAACAACAACAACAACAACAACAACAACAATAATAATAATAATAATAATAATAGGTTGGGACATGTGGCCACAGGTCTGTTTGAGAGAACTTGTGTCTTAATGTCTCTATATTGAACAAGACAAGATGCTATTTGAGTACTTTAGAAGTGTCTGCATATCTGTATGTTTTACATTTTGTAATTAGACATTTATTTTTCATGATTGGATTGATAACATTTTCATTTAACACCTTTTCAAATATAGCAAGATCAACTTTACACCTGGGCTGCAGTTAGTCAACCCACGCACTCCATGGATTACAGTGAAGGGCAGTTTCCCAGGAGAGAACCATCCATGTGGCCACCATCCAGCCTTCCTGATGAAGAGCACAGTCCCAAGGATGTAGACACAGGTAGGATATGGGAAAGCCAGCTTTGAAAGTTCATGTGATTAATGTGTAATTGTAAACATTTGCTGGGTAGTAAGTATTTAGTCTCTAGTGGGTATTTATCATCATCATCATCATCATCATCATCATCATCATCATCTCCTTCAGGCAACCCTTAAAATCAATGGGAAGCCTGGGACCCTGGAAGTTCTATGGCTGTGTTCAAAACTGCAGGACTAGAATGTAGAGGGGTAGTAGATATACTGGGACTCTCCAGTAATTTCTGCATTTACTGAAGTTTGAGAACCATTGTCTATAGACACTCACCCACCACTAAGTTGAAACTCTATATCATGTTTGGGCTAAGAGACCCGTGGGGGACATTTTTCTCCATTATCTCTGAATTTCTTTGCTTAAAGAAGCATTGTTTTCTTTACCTATAGAGATAACTGGGAAAGGAAAATAGAGATGTAAATTTGCTTAAATGTCACTTTAAAATAATGATAGAATATTCCAATGTAATCTTTTTTTTTTCCCTGAAAAAATGACTTTCTTTCTTTTCCTATTGTTGTCTTAAACTACTTTGTGCTATTGACTGGGAAGATAATATGAGACTGGCCTCACTGTTATTTGGAGAAAATCATTAGCATGATGATTTCTTAATAGAATCCAGGTTCTCCTGGTGGACTGAGCATATCTGCTGATATAGAAGCGAAGACTAAATAGAACAGAATTTTTCCTTGCCACAGATTTCCCCACACTGGATTTTCATAAGTGATACTGTGGGTTTCAAAGCTTAGAACTTGACGACCTCCACTGTCTCAGTGAAAGATGGCCAAAGGAGCTTAATGTTGGCTTGTTGTGCAAGGGCAAAATATAAAACTATGTGTCTTGGGTTCTGCAGTGCATAAGCTTTCTGATGTTAGGCAAATGTCCAAACTGCTGTTTTCATTTCCTCGTCTATGAAATGGTAATGAAAATAGCATCTACTTTGTAGCATGATTAGGAGTACATGAGTTCATGTGAAACATTAGTGTGCTGAGTCAATGGAAGTGCTTGGCCATATTGTTATAACTATCATTAAAGTTATTTCTTGTTATTATCTTCCTCATGACTTTCCTTTAAAACCAACAGTGACTCTGTTAATGGTTTGCCAGGCTTCTGGCCCCACTTTTGCGTGGAGTTTCTATCCTCTTGTTTTTAATTTCAGTTTCTTGGCAAATGTATTTTATCATTTATTCTTTCAAGCACCCCACATTTCCCCTTTGGGAATGCCCTGTGTTTTGGAGAAACTGTTTAGTATTCACTAGTTGGCATATAATCCAATAGAATAAAAAAACAAACACAAGTGAGTAAGAGAATGTAGAAAACAGTTTCATGTAAGTAAGATTCTATTTACTACAATACTCATTGGCAGTGGTTGATCAAGGGTCCAGGTAGACTTCCACACCTAAAAATCTGCAGAGAGTTTGAACATGATAGTGCCTGAAAATCCAACATGCAAATATAGACATTGTTGGTTGCGAAAAAGAAAGGCCTGGAGTAAAGATTTTGATCCCATTATATACAAACTGTCTTTGGTCTAAAATGCTATTGGCTGAAATTTGTAGGTACAAATGCAACAGTTTCAAGCAGTTTCATTGAGAGCCCTTGGAACAATGGTTTCTATCCTTTCCTGCATTTGCATCATTGGTTGCCATAATATTTTGATGCCCCCTACTGTATATTTTTCAACTTCTCTGGCAGAAGTGATAACACTATTCTGTAATATTTTGGGATACTTTAAAAGAAGTAGAAATCATTAGGTTATTGAAGGAGCACTTAGCTGAGAATGAATTGATTGTGGTCACCTGAATTTTAGTTTGATGAGGATGGCAGTGGGGCCAGAAGAGGGAGATGATGACTTGGCTTTTTTCTTTGCAGATTAACATAGTTTACAAAATGCCTGAGCAAGTAATTTTTAATACATTACCTTTTCTCCTTTTAAACTGTGCATTCATGAAGAAGAAGATGGAGGTAAGTAGATAGGAATTTAAACCACCAACCTGTTTTGCTCCTGTTGATCTGCTCTCTGTCCCAGTGGCAGGAGTGTTCCTTTGTCTAAAGAACACTAATGTTGCTCTTCCACTCTCATGCCGTGGCATTCATTTGGAAAAACACAAGGAACATTTTCATGTCCAGGGAACCATACCACCTCCTCTTCTCTTGTGATGCCAACAACACAGAAAACTAATGAAAGACTTAAACTAGCAAAGAAATGAAATGAAGCCCAAATAATTGGAATGCCGGGTGGAATTTGCTAACCACTGGTTCTAAGATAGCAGGAATCCAAGAATTCACACTGCCCCTCCTTTCAGTGAGTCTGCAGGTAGTAAATAGGGTCCTTAAGAAACAAAGAGATAGCTGCAACCCTGGTTTGCCCAGACAAGATTAATTAGCACACCCCGAGGTCCTAAGGTCTGCTGACCCTAACTGGGAGACCATCCAGCCTCAAAGGGTCATGTACTCAATGGACAGAGGGTCTCACCCCCTCCCTAAGCTTGTGGGTTTTGCCTTTAAAAACGCCTGTGCCTGGAGAATGACGCTTTTCTGTAGCCTGCGTGCTGAGGGGGCCCGTTTGCGCAAATGTTTCCTGTTCATTAAAGCCTCTTGCATGTTGCATCAACTGGACTGGCCATTGAGTTCTTGGGGGTACCGACCAAAACTGGGAGACTCCTCATTCTGAGGGTCTTACACTAATAGACCGATGTTTTATGTCAATTGTGAGTTTTAATAGTATGACTATCATTAGTTCTATACTACTTACATATACCTGACTGATCATTACCTACTATTGTGTAGTGACATCATGATTTAAATTGCTAAATGCAACATGTGACCACTTCAAAGCTTGTTTACTTTTTGAAGAAGGAAATCTTTCAGGTCCAACTATTTTTTTTTTTTTCAAAACTTTTTTTAATGGGGGATTTTTTTCCTACCTCTTTAAAAAGGGACTATTAATTCACAGGTCCAATTGATTCAGATTTGTGCTTCTGCCTCTTCTGATTTTCTCATGAGTTTAATATTTCTATAGTCACTTTTTATAAACAAGATTCTTCCAATCTTCATATATTCACTGAAACATCAATACTTCTTTATATGAATTTTTAGTGCTGAGGCCAAGCTGAAACGTGACATTTTCCTCACCAGTGAAAAGCCAGGTTCCATTTGTTCTTTTTGCTTTCTTTCTCCTTATACTGTTGACATTGTCTCTGAGGATAGGCCCGCAGTGTATAAACTGACCATGCGAAGTATTCAGAAGGCATCATGGAAGCATTAGTTCTAGCTGGAAAAAGAAGTGTATGGTATGACCAACTCCTGTTGTAGAGGGAGTATTGTTAGGAAGGCAACCTCACATCTTGTCTTGCCTTTCTCAAGTCCCCTTTGTATTACTTTTAATTTTTCCTCCACAGCTTATTTGAATATTTTTCTTTTTGCTAATATTCTATCCTATTGTCATCAATTCTGTAATCAGTCATTAGCTTTCATCATTTTAAAATGTCTTTAAAGATCCTATTTGGTTTGGTGTTGTAACTGTTAAAGTAGTTTACTTTTTCATATCTCTATGGCACTGGGGGAGTAAGCCCTGAAGAGAAAGCTACTGACAGGACTTTTAATAAAGTTGGAAGAGGTATCTATACCAACACAGAAACCCAAGAAGCATAAAGAAAAAAATCAAGGCAACATATTTCCAGAAGATTATAATGCTTCCTCAGTTACTGAGTCTAAAGATATGAAATGGTTGAAATCTCAAACACACAATTCAAAGATCTCCTTATAAAAATCAACAAACTTAAAAATCCAGAGAGAAATCTGTCTAGGGCCTGGATAAGGATGCTTATAATGTAAAAGATGGTTAAGAATGTAACTTAGACATTCAATAAGGACATTGAGATTAACATAACAACAACAAAGAAAACAATAGGAAGTGAAATTTCAACAAACAAAGACCACAGTGGAATGTATCACAAAAGACTAGATCAGTCAGACGAAAGAATGTAGGAGTCAAGGCAAGGTCATGGAAATGCAACATTCCAACATCAACAAAGAATAAAGAGCAATAGGAACCAGGGCAACTTTCTGGAACTCTAGGAAATGTTGAGGACACAAAACTAAAATGTCATGAAACATCAGAAGGAGATGAGATTCAGACCAACAGACTTAGTGACATTGTAGGAGAAATGCCCCAAACCTAGGGAAAAGAAGTGGATACCCAAGCACAAGAAAGAATTTAGGACCCTACATAGACATGACTGAAAAGGAACCTCACTGTAACATATTTCTAGGTAAATTCTATGGTCAGAGAACAAAGAAACACCATTACAAACTGTAAGACAAAATGTCCAAGTAACAAAGACATACCCATTCGAATAACTAAAACTTAGAAAAGAATTCAATACCCTGGAAGGAAATAGCTGTCAACCAAGATTATTATACCTCACAAAGTTGCCTTTTAAAATCAATGGAAAAGTAGAAATCTTATAAGATATGTACAAATAAATACAATTTGTGGCTACTAATCCAGCATTGCAGAAGATACATAAAGGGATTCTGCATGGAGAGGATAAAGAGAGATGGCCTTAATTGTAAGCATGCAGGAAATAATAGATTGTAAAAGTAAGCAGATGAGCAAAAGAGAAATAAGAAAGAATCATATTTATCTAACTCAGTTAAGCATCAAACCTCTAATGTGAGGAAGTAGAGAGAAAAGAACAAACATTAAAATAAAACAGTAAAATAACCAGTGCAGTTAGGAGAAGCAGCAAACCCTCTCAATAATAAATAAAAATGGTCTCAGTTCTCCAGTTAGATTTTCAGTTAAAAGACACAGAGATATGATTGGATTAAAGGCCGAACTCCAGCTATTTTTGTTGTTGTTGCTGTTGTAGATAGAAGCAAACTTCACTTGCAAAGATACAAACTGGAAGTTAACAGGATTGGAATTTGTTTCCAAAATTGTGTAAGCTGAAAAGAAACAGTAGTTG